TGATCCCATCCATGGTAAGAGCCCTTCCCACCTGTGACCTCCAGAGGCTGTCTCTGAATGCAGTGGGCAGTGGAGATTAAGTCACATGTGGCTTGAGGAGGGACACTACAGCAGCTAGAACAGGTCCTTTCACGGGGACCCTTTTTGAGTAGCCTTTTCTACTCTCTCCCCAAAATGCGCCCCTTCACACCGTGTTCCCCTGCACATCTGCCTTGGGGGACGGTCACTCCCAGGGCCCTCGGAGCAGGAAGTCCACCCCTGACCACAGCCCAACGTCTGGCACATGGTGGGTGTTTCATGTGGATGAAGTCAGTGGACTCTCCAGCAGCCTCAGTCACACACATGGATTTTTCACGGGTCCACTTTGAATTCCAAAGAGTTGACACATCAAAGGAGCCCACATTCAATCAGAAACCATTCTGTGCTAGCACTGGTCTTAGTGGGCACATCCGAACCTGTAAAAGTAGCCCTGGTTGGCTCCTAAACTCCTTTATTCCCCCCGATTTTGACATACTGTATTGTGATGAGTCTTTACTGAGTAACTGTCACCCTCCCTTTTAAAACCTTCGCAGGGACACCGACCCTGGTACAGAAACCCATCCGCGGCCCTGTGGAGGTGCCCAGGACAGACTCCTGCTCTCCCCGTGCCCTCCTGGTCGCTGGGCCTGCCTGTCCCTGGCCGTCCTAGTCTGGTGACGTTGCCTTTAAGCTTGCTGCCTTGGTCCAGTCGATGTCAGGACTTCCCGCACTTGACCTCAGCCCTGCTGTAGATGCCGAGCACCCGACCACAGGGAAATAGAAGGAAATGGTAGGCAATGTGGCCCTGGGGGCTTGTGCAGGTTGAAGTTTGGTCTGATCCTTCCTCATCACAGAAGCGCAGAGGAAAAGGATCCATATTTAATAGAATAACTTAGGGTTAGGCCAGATACTGCTGACTCCAGCCGTGGAAACCGAGTCCTCCAAACGGGTAACAAGCAAACTCTGCTCTCTCCACGGCATGGAATCCACATCACAGAGGCAGCTCAACCCTCAGAGGCATATTGCAAAAAACACAGAAAGACTCTTCTTCCTGAAGCAGCCCACACACCTTAAAATCTAGAGAAGGGAGCCCCGAGTTCTTCCGATGCGTCCTATAACCCCGGTTCAGCCAATTCTCCCTGTTAAGGGACAGACAGTCCCTGTCCTAGCCGCCCGATGTGCCCTGAAGCCCCAAAGCAGCTGCAGTCACCAAGTGCATCCACTGATGGACGCGGCTGTTCCTATAAAACTTTATTTACACAAACAGATGACACAGGCCAAGGCTGAGCCCACGGACATCACCAATGGCGTTAGACTGTGTGAAACGGCTCTCTGTTGTCCCACCTGGAGCGTGGTTTGTCTGCCAGCTCTGCCTGGTCCGTGGCTCAGTAAGGGACAACAGGAACCAGGCTCTCCGGGGACTGAAGGCCATCAGCGCTGACTGAAACGTCTCCTGTATGGATGGAACCCAGGCCCCCGCTTTAAAGTAACCCAAGTCTTCGGAAACCGCGTTGTGTGTCCGCTAGCCGGACAGGTTGGAGGTACACAGAAGGTAAGCCTGGCCTGGAAATCAAAGCAGCACTCCAATCTGCATATAGACATCGAGGCTGATCAACTCCGTCCCCCACCACTGGTCACGACCTGGAGCGTCACAGAGATCAAAATACGTGAAAAAGTCTGTCTCCAGAAGAAATCTGCACTGGACAGGATCTTACGGCTCGTGTGGAGGAACCCTTTAACGTACACAACAAAAAAATGAACTTTAAGGAGGAGCGGAACTGTCATTTGCCCGACATCACTCAGCTAGGATGTAGGGCAGGTGTGACCACATGACAGTAAACTGTAAGCTCTAACAAGGAGGCCCCACATCCGCGTGGCCCAGCGCTCAGTCCTCAGCTTTGACCCTCCTTCCTGGCCCCTAACAGGCAATCAGGAAAGACTTGTTGAATAAAGGAATAAAGAATCAACGACGGAGGGAAGAGAGGCCAGGCCGCTGAGCTTTCCCATCGAAAGGTGCGTGGACAAATGCATTCTTTGTTCCAAAAGAATATTCTGACTTTCATCCTGATGTTGAATTGTACATTTAGCTCCTCAGACACCACAGTAAACTGCTGAACTACAGTGAGTGGCTAAAGGAGAGGAAGAACCACTCAAGGCAACGGATTCCGGCCGAAAAAACTGTTAATGCACCATGAGGATCTGTTGTCTAGAGCATCCAGAATGCTTTCTCTCACACCAGGACCCAGTTGCTGATACTGTCTGCCCGGGGTTTCCCAGGACCTGCAAAACTGTAGGCCTGGTTGCTCAGAGGGGTTGTGGCTTATTGCATGTCTCTGCAGCTGCCCATCCATCACCCCGTGACTTCAGGGCATACAGAGCAAGAGGCAGGATGCACTCCTGACTGCTCCTGCTTGTTCCCCTTCCAGGCTGAGAGGAGGGTCCTCCTCAGCCACCCTCAGCCCTGAAGTGCCCCCCCCCCCAGCTCCACAGTGGAAGGTCAAGTGGAATCAACCTGCATTCCTTCCACAGGTGTTGGCCTTTGAAAAGGAATGCAGACTTTGAGCTCCATTTGTTTTCAAAATACTGCTTTTTCTTTGAACTAGCATGGAATGTGTGACTTTATTCACAGACAGGCAATTTCAGAGCCACCCAGTTTTTATATGACTTTTCAATATTTCAGCTGTCCAAAAAATGTCCTTAAAGAATCCCACTATAAATGTCTAGAGATAACTTTTCTGTGGAAAAGTCATATATAACTATGTATATGTGTGCATACTTATTTTCTCAAGGACGACAGCCTTAATTATGAGTGCCAGATTCTTCAGCAGCCACTCTGGCCAGACTTTCTCTGCTCTTGCAGTGACCATTCAGTAGTAGGAGAAGGTCCTGCTCTTTAATCCCTTAGCTTTGTAAAGAAAAACACTACCAAATATGTTTGGCTAGTGCACAGAAGTTTTGCAAATTTTGCCAACTGTTGCAACTTAATAAATGAGATTAAGTTGATCATTTACAGAATAATTAAAAGGCTTTAAATATCGGACCTCTGGAAATGAGTATCGTAGATAACACTTTCTCAGTTCTTCTGTTATTGATACAACGTTCTTCTGAAAAACAAGATGCATACTGAACTCACAATTTGAATTTTGAAATCATACTGAAAAGAAATAGCAACACAAGTACTTTTCATTTTACTTCGGCTATCCCTCATTTTCCAGGGTGGAAGCACACCAACACACCTTCATAGAACTGAAATGCCAGGATTCAAAATAAATTCAAAACATTTACAAGATAAATTCAGATATCTGAAGGGGGTTTTCCCACAATTAAATTTGCAGTGCTATCAACAAAATCGGTTTATTTTAAGATTGCCTGCCCAATATATAAATTTCCCTTTGTGTTTGAAATACTTTTATCAGATAAGATAGCTTTTGTTTAAACTGCTATTTTCAGAATTTGCTTTGGGGGTTTTGAATGCACACAGCAGAGTAACTTGAGATTTCCTAGGCTGCTTTAAAATGTGTTTCTTCTGTCTGTTTGTATTTAGTAATTTCCTGTCAAATAACCTCACATAATTAACTTTCCTTGCTCCAACCTACTTTTTTTCCTATTCCTACTTCCTGAGGACGGTAATAAAATGCTGATTACATTGGGCTGTTATCTGCCTCCCTCCTGCGCCCCTCCCTGGCTCCCTTTGTCAGAGCCCACAGGGTTTCAGCAGTTCCTGGGGGGTGGGGGGGGACCGGACCCAGCAGGGCCAGAGCGGCCTGTGGGAATCCCTGATTAGCCCTCTGCAGGGCTGGGAGGTGGGTCTGGTTCTCCTCCCAAGTTCCAGAACTGAGACCAGCTCCTGCTGCACTGCTCCTGAGGAGCCCGGGACTCCCTCTCCTTCCCTTCCTCACCAAGGAGGGTGGTGGCTGGGAGCAGGCCATTCCAGAGCCCGGGAGGGAAGCAGGCCCACAGCAGTGACCAAGTTCTATTCATAGAGAGGAACAGAAATTAAAGCAGGCAGTTTCCACGGCACTGGGCCTGTCGGTACATGCTACTTCGTGATGACCCATCCTTCGTGTCTCACGGTACGACTTTCCAAACGTTTGTGTGGGCTTCCAGAACACCCCGACCCATCGCCTTCAAACGCACCAGGACCCGCTCCTACCGTCATTGACACATTCGACCTCCAAATTCTCCCTTTCGGGAGGCTGTCCTCCACGTGGTAGCGAGGTGTTTGCTTTCCATGATTTGTTTTTTTATCTGACCATTGTGAACACACCAAGCCCAATAATTCTTTGCTGTGCTGGGGACCGTCCTGGGGAAAGTCTGGCCACACTCACGGCCTCAGCCCCCTGGAGGCCAGGGTATCTTCAACCTCTGATCCCCACAAACAAAGCATCTCTGGACACGGGCAAGTACACCCCCGCCCCCCGCAGGGGAACCACTTTGGATGAAAATCACTGATGTACATTAAACTCAGAACAGAAAGCGGCGTCCCTGAGCCTCACACCCACAATAACAAGTGGTAAAATGGATAAATAAACACCCAGCCACCTCATCAAGCAGAGGATTCCCTCTAGAATTCCAGCAAGGTCTGCATTCTGATCACCAAACCTGAGCACATAACGATGCCACCTTCACTTCATGACAGTGGCTTGAGATCACAAGTGACATACGCCATGGTCCCCAAACCACTGCACAGACTAAAGGAGAAATCCCCAGACACAGCCCCATGGACCTCCTCATGTCCCAGAAATGCGGAGCCACAGGCTGGGGGAACCAGAGTGGGAGCCGGGGGCTCGGGAATCTAATCTGTGCTGTCCTGGGCCGTAGCCACTCGCTACGCCTCTAGGGACACAGCCCCCATCCCAGGCTGGGTCACTCCAAGGTAGGTGCCCCAGAGTGGAGGAGCATCTATGTGGGTACTGCTGGCACAGAGGAGGGTGTCCCTAACAGCACTGCTGAGGGCACAAATGGAAAACACAAGGACCCACCGTGAAGGGCTCCATGTACAGTGGCTCGTGGGCCTGTGACATCCATCCAGCCATCTGCCTGGGAGGAGCCTGCTGCTGCTCCAGGCCACACGGAGGGGACTCGGAAACAGGATTCTGGAAAAAGGAGAAGTTTCAGAACACAGTGTACAACGAGAAAGTGCTTTTACCACGTTCAAGTACACGCAACCTTAAACCTGTTGTATGTGTGTTTAAAGGCTACTGAAACCTGCTTTTAACACCACAGTGTGTATGTATGTCTCCCTTAATCAGAATCCCACTAATAATCCAGGAGGAAGGGCATCGTCATTTGGAAATCCCAAGGAAATAGTGCGGCTGAGCAATGATCACCCATGGCTGCTAAAGTCATATAAGGACAACCAGACGTTAGGGTCCTCCTGAGGGAAAGGGAGGGAGGACATCGATCAACCCAACCAAGCAAGCCTCCCAACCAGCGCTGTGCAGCACAGAATTCCCAGGAACAACGGGAATCTCATCTGCACTGTCCTGGGCGGTAGCCGTGAACTACAAATGGCCAATAAGTTTCTGAAATGTTGCTGGTGCAACTGAGGAACTAAAGTTTCAAGCTGTTTATGTGTGTGTGTGTGTGCACATGGGTTCTTATGTATTTTTGTATGTGTGTGTGTGTGTGTGTGTGTGTGTGTGTGTGGTGCTGGTGATTAGAACCCGGGGCCTTGTGCATGGGAGGCAAGCACTCTACCAACTGAGCTATGTAGCTTAAAATAATCACATGGGGCCCATGTCCACTTTATGGGACAGTGCAGTTTGACATCTAATTACAATTTATAGGACATGCAGAGAATAAGAGAAAACAATGAAATTAACAAATTGAAACAATGGGAAGTTCTGTAGCACATTCTGAACAAAATGAAAAAAATGGACAGAGGCAGGGGGAATCTGTGGGTTAATACAGTCTAAGAGACAGGGTAACTGACTCAATACACAGACTTTATTTAGATCCAGATTTTTTTTTAAAGTGTAAATAAAATCAAGACCACCAGAAACGTGAACACTGACGGGCTATTTGGAACTACTAAGGAATGCTGTTAATTTTAAAGATATGATAATGGTACTGTGTATGTGTCTAAAAACAAACTATCTTTTTTAGATAACACATTAAAACACTTGCACATATTCCGGTTGTGGAGGGGAACAGGAATACCTGCCACTAGATGGACCATGAATTGACCAGAGTGGGCAAAGAGCACAGGAAGGTCCACCACAGTGGCCACCCTACTGTAGTGCAGGACTTGTTTCCCATACACAAAGTTCTCTCTCTCTCTCTCTCTCTCTCTCTCTCTCTAAAAAATAAAAATAAAAATAAATAAAAGTACAAGGTTATCATTTTACTCAAAGTCTTCACTTTTAGGAATACATTTCCCTAAAACATAAATCTGGAAATAAATGAAGTGATTGGCATTGCATTTAATTTGCCCATTAATTCAGGTTAGTTTGTTTAAGTGCTGTTTGCAGATACAAAAAAGTAAAAGTGCACTAACAGGTAAATGGTACACCCACACCATGGTGCATTACTCAGCTGTAAAAAGAAGAAATTCTCTAAATGTGCTAAATTTCAGTGAGAATAAAAACAGGTAGAGCTTCATGTGTATAAATATTCTATGTATCTTGCAATCTTTTTTTTGTGTGTGAATGCATATATTTGGGAACAGATACAGCCACAGAAACTTGGAAAACAGGAGGAAATCAACAAGTTCTTCATGGTACTTCCCACTAGAGGTTGGAAAATTTTGAGAGGCAGATTTATATACTCTTATATCTTCTACTACATTTCAAATGTACAATTTTAATACGAAAAATTATGGTAACATTATTGATAAAACACAATATTTCCAACTTTGTATGAAAAGTGCTAGCCAATGAACTAAGATAATAATAACAGTAGTAACAAAGTTGAACTAGAAATCAAAACTCTGAAGCTCATATTAGTATGTTATCTACATAGACAATCAAGAGAATCTAAAAATTATAAGAATTAGGAAGAGTTTAATAAGGATCCTGTATACAAAATGAACATTAAAAATTGAGAAACATTGTTGTAAACCAGTAAAATCATGCAGAAAACATAACAAAAGCAAAAATGAACCTATTCACGATAGCAACCCATAATATAAAATTCTTAGAAATTCAACAAAATATGTATAAAATTACTCTGTTTAAAAATAAATGGAAATCACAGTAAGTGGAGATAGATATTGCATTCATGAATAGATTCGAAATTGAAAAACAATCTTAACTCACCTCAAATTAACCTACACATTAAATGCAGTGCTAAAAAAACCACCTGTGGTGTGGGGCGTATGATACGCCGTCTTAAAATGTCTGTAATCCAAAAGCCAAGAGCAAGTACGAAATTGTACAAGAGCAAAAAATTGGGGAGATGTTACCTACAAGGGAACAAAACTCCACAAAGCACAGTCACTGGACAGGTGACCATGGAACAGGATGGGATTCCCAGCCAAGATTCACAAACACAGGGAACTCCAGGACACGGAGGCGTCTCTGCAAAGCCTGAGCCTGAGGTCCGGGAAGACAAGAGACGCTCAGCCGGCAAACACGAGAGAACTGGGAGCTGGCGAGGAAGTCCCTGTGCGGTGGGAAAGACATGCGCCTTTCCATGTGGTGGGCTGTGACGGATCAGGGTCAAGGACACGTGGGTGACCATCAAGAGGTGTAAGAGGGGATCTGGGAGCAGGACAAGACTGCCCTTGGTTAACAGTGGACACAAAGAGGAGATGGGGAAGCCGAGCTGGATTTCCACCAGGATCCCTGGAATCCAGAGGCGAGTCCACCCCACCTCCGCTAGGCCAGGAGCAGAAACACAGCCACCAGCTTGGCCCAGCCTGAGCACTGAGCTCTGGATCCCACGCACTAGCCACAGGTGAAGGAGCAGGAGCCCTGGCGCCCAGCGCTGGGGTGAAGCCCCCTGGGTAGGGCACGGCCTGGGCTCCTGGGACTGCGGGTTCTGCCCTTTTACCAGGATCCTGAATACTTCCTTCGCCTCCTCGTGCCTCGGCGTCCCCACGGGTGAAATGTAGATAAGAATAGCGCTCCCTCGCAGGACTAATGTGAACATTTAAAAATTTAATATGTGCAGAGCACTTAGAAAAGTTCTCAGAAAACACTGAGCGCTCAATAAACGGGAGCGGTTCTCATTACCAGCCTGCGCGCTCAGTGCCTCTGGGCCCTCGTCCTTGAAATCCCTGAGCCTCTGCCTCCTTCTTCTGGAAACATAATATCCCCGTCTTCATAACATCACTGGGTGGTTTGTGGGAGAAAATAAAAGGGAAATGGCTTCATAAATGGCCGTACTGCGGCCCCAGCAGTCACACAGCTGCGTTCTGTACTGCTGTCTCTCAAAGAAGTAGGAGCCCTGGTTCCTGTAGAAGTCGATGCTGGTGAACTCCGTGAGGGGCCAAGAACTTCCAGCGGCAATTTCCTTTACAAAATGAGCTGCTCTTGGTTCATAATAAGGAATTAAAGGAATTTTCTCCAGGACATTTGCACACTTATCAGCCAGGTACAGTGGACGGTGTGCAGCCATTGAGATGTCTAAACAGTCTAGCTGACCATCAGCAAGGAGGAGCGTGCTCACACCTGCTCATGAGGAGCGTGCTCACACCTGCTCATGAGGAGCGTGCTCACACCCGCTTGTGCAGCTACGAGCTGGTCCGGCTTCCCTGCAGAGCTTCTGGGTCATGTTGTGCTTTCTTTTTTATTGCTCTTGGTTATTTTTTTAAATTGTGGCAAACTCAGGATAAACTTTTTGATGAAGTTTCTTTTCTGAAAACTCATCTCAGGACATGGGAAGAGACGGAGGCTGCGGGAATGCAAAAGCAAAGTCAGAGGATACAGATATAGGAAGGGAAAATGGGTTATTTTAAAGTCAGTTTCCTAAAATAAACCCTCCTTGGCACTCCTAATCCACTCTCTAGGCTGGCTCCAGATTACTTAAAAAGAGGTTAATTGCTTTGTGGATTAGTCAAATCTTCCATTCCGGTGACTAGTCACAACTTTCCCGGTCTCTTTTACTTCTGATAATTTTATTGATTGTAAACCTCCTTTACCAAAGCACACAGGGAAAGGGGTCACAAGAAGGAAATATATACTTAAGTGTGTGTGTGTGTGTGTGTGTGTGTGTGTGTGTGTGTTAGTCTTGCTTTCTATTTTCAGATAGTTCTGATAAAAGTTTAGAAGGAGGAGGAAATAACTAATAGCTAAAAACAAGGGCGTAGAATTATTTGAGTTAACCCGGGTTTAATAAATAATGCAAAGCATATCACCATCAGGAAGCGGGTCCCGTCAGTCACGTTTTGATGCCCAGAGACCAAATCTGAATGTGAAATGTGTGAACAGACAGTGACACCGCGTGCGTTTTGTTGGAGACGTAACCGCTGGTGTTGTAAGTACAAGCTCAAGACCAAAGACAGCTAAGAGCATCCCATCCGTACCTGGGGCCCCATCCTGGGAGAGAAGTCAGGAGGCAGCAGCCCGAGGAGTCAGCCAGAAACACCCAGCGGACCTGGGAAAGGACCCTCAGACCCCCGAAGCTGATTCGGGGTGCCCTGCAGGGAATTATTTCCAACAAACAGCTGGCTCAATCTTCCCATCTATCTGGTTATTAAAAAAAAAAAAAAAAAAAAAATCTTTCCGTCACAACATACATAGAGTTAGTCCCGGTGGACTGCAGGACTTCGAGTGGATGGAGAACAATGAGGCTTCCAGAAACTGGCATGGGAGAGAGGAAGAGCCTCCTACACAGAACACAGAAGCACCTCATCGGAGGGAAGGCGAATGAGTCTGACTATACGAATATTCAAACCTTCTGTTCACCAAAAGCCAGCTTTGTGAGCACAAAAGACAAACCACAGAGTGGGCAAGGATGTTTGAGACTCGCAGAACTGTCAAAGGGCTCATTTCCAAAGCATACAAAGAACTCTCAGATGTCAAAAGGAAAAATAAAATCCAACCCCCAAAACAGGCTGAATAAGCTCTTCAGAAAGAGGATCTCCAAATGTCCACTAGGCACCAGAGGAAGCTGCAAACTTCATTAGTCATTAGGAAGAAATGCAAATCAAAACTAGGATGAGATGCTACAGCACACCCACCAGGGCCGCTAATGTGAAGGACGGATAATGCCAAGCACTGACGCAAATGTAGGCAAGAAGATTCATGTGCTTCAGTGGTCGGGCAAAAGAGTATAGTTAGTTTCAAAATCTGCTTGGCAATTCCTATCTTAAGGAAATGATCACAGACACAAAAATTTCTAGGCACAGTATGTCATGCAGCATTATTCATAATGGTGAAAAGGGAAAGTTCAACAATAAGGACATGTAACTTATGGCAGAACGGCTCAGTGAAATATTACACAGCTATAAAAAGTATACTTGTGACGCCACCTCGGTGGTCTTTTGCCAGTGGCCCCAGAAGTAGGGAAGATCCATCTTTCATAGGAAGATGTGCTTGGTGTTCTGGTCATCGTGATGTGACAAGGATAGAAACAAGCATGGGCTGTGCTGTGCTCCATGGGGTATTTTAAGACTATGGAGTCTATTTCTACCCTCACACAGCTGAGAATCTTGGGCACCACATTCAGTGCACCATCAAAGCCAAACAATAAGATGGAAATGAACTGTGCATCTGTGACTCTGAGCAGCATCGCTCTTTTCCTCAGCTCTGGCCTCTTGGGGGCTTGGAGGCTGGACTGGGCTCTTTCCAGGAGAGGCACTCTGGAAAACTGGAGACGGCAGCACCCATGCCCTCCGACTCCGGTAGCCACAGTGGCCACAGATTTGTGCACAGTCTGATGACCCATGTCATGAAGTGGCAGCAGCAGTGAACCGTGGCTCCCGTGGGGACTGAGTGACAGTGCTGTGGGGAGCACACTCTCTTCCCTTGGAGACCATCGCTCCCTGCAGGCCCTGACCTGGGTGAGCACCAGCTCGCTGTCCACTGGTTCCTCAGATCCTTTGGACGATTGTGACCTCACTCTCCAATCCTTTGCCTTCAGTCCTTCTCTGCTGGACATAAACCAGGCTCAGTTTCCCTGACTGACCCTTGACTCAGAGTGACCAGGAATTTCTGCTACTGGTCCCTCTTTGAAACAGGTGAGATCTTCCTAGACACACACACACACACACACACACACACACACACACACACACACAGCTTGCTCATTCCACACCAACTCCTTTTAGCTAATTTTACCATGATCGTGCGTTTTCTGTTGATTGTAAAGACTGGAACAAGATGACAGAAAAATTAAAATTTGTATCTCCAACATTTGACAGAGATTCATACTCTCTTGGATTAGTAATGTTTATCTGTAAGAACACAATAACACATTAAGTCCAGCACCATGTCCCCAGAGCTGAGGACGGTTCTGTCACCACTGCAGGGCTGGCCGGGCTCTGAATCACCTACGGAAATCATGGTTGTGCGCAGGAGTGTGCGGGTGCACACACACATCGATATCAAATACCCTTTTAATTTGTTTCTCTCTCTAGGTTTACATCATAATTTGACATATACGAAACTTAACTAAATTTCACCATAAAGCACCTAAGACCATGCAGGGTTCATGAACAGCACAGAAGTAACGATGCTCCAGGACCATCACTCAGGATCCTGCAGGTGGGGAGAGGGAGGCAGGGTCGGGTGGGACTCCTGGTCTATCCCCCTGCACAGAACTACACGCCTGAGCACAAGACAGAGAGTTTGGAGACACAGAAAAGCAACTGGCATCAGGGAAATCACAGACGATGCCTGAAATCAAAGCTACGATCAACCTAGCTGAGAGTCCCCCCACACCCGCACTCCAACTGTGGCCTCTGGTCACAACTTGAGGCAGTGGGAACCCTGGAAACAGCAGTGACGGGAGCTCTAGTGCTGGCTCATGCCACCAACGAAGGGCCCATAGCAGGACGAGTCCGGATCCCTGGCTTGGTCTTGGGGTCAGCTCTTGTGCCCTGGACCCCACACAGTCCCAGGGCAGCAAGAGCAGAGACCGTAATGATATGTTCATGGAGGGGAAGCTGCTCCCCAGCTGCTGGAGGACCCAGGAGGCCAACCTCCTCTGCTTTGGTCCCCTCTGTCATCCTGTCCCTAGGGTCCAGCAGAGGCTCAGATAAGGACATGCACAGCAGAACCCGGAGGACCAACGTGGAGAGCCCCAGGGAACCAAGAGCATCAGGGAGCGTGTCCACAGGAAAGTGGTCCATAACATTGTTTATGAGTTGCAGAGGTCATGACCAAACCATAAGGCGTGGGTGAGGCTGCCATTGCACACCATGCCCCCCGAGGCATGAGGACAGACCGACCCCAAAGAGGTCCCTGACTGACCTAAGTGGGGGGTCCACCCAGAACAGAGTCAAGAGCCCAAGGACTTTGAAAATTAAGCTGAAATTGAAAGCACCCCTGCGGGTAGGTTAGAAATTGCAGCCTGAACCCAACCCCGTCGAAGGCCTGCCTTAAAACAGAAAGAGAAAAGAATCCACTCCTCCAACAGGTTCCTCACGACTCGGCCTCCTAACGCGATCTTCAGCGTCCCCAGGAAAGTTCCCAAGATTACTGCACACAGAGAGCCACGAGAACTTCAGCTCCCACAGGAAGAGGCTCCACAGACGCTCCAACATGGCGCGGAGGCTGAGGTTATGGGGAGACATTCAAAGACTCGGCCTCGACCCTGAAATGCACTTACACGTTACAAATCGTGAGCATTCTTGAAACAAATGTTTAAATTAAAAGTATTAGCAAGGAAACAGAAAATACAGAGTGCTTTTTTTTTCCTTTTTTGTCACTGTGACCAAAAGGCCTGACAAGAACAATGAGAAGAGGTTTCAGAGGTCTCAGTCCATAGGTGGCTGACTGCATGGCTCTGGCCCACGGGGAGGCAGAGCACCATGGTGGAAGGGCGTGGTGCTGGAGGAGCTAAGGGTACCGTAACCAGGAAGCTCTGCTCACCAGGAGCAAGACAGACCCAAAGGCGGGCCCCCATGACCCATCTCCTCCAGCCACCCCCTCCCTGCCCAGGGCCACCCCCAGTTCATCCATTCAAGGGGATTGATGTACTGGTTAGATTAAGGCTCTCTTAACCCCATCATTTCACCTCTGGTTTCTTGCATTGTCTCACATAGGAGTTTTTGGGGGACACCTCCTATCTAAACCACAAGAAGGAAGAAACCAATGGAAACCTTAACACGCAAAAGGCACTGATCAAAATTTGAAATCCACTGGATGGACTCGAGAGCGGCATGAAGACTGACAGAGGACAGAGTCCCTGGACTTGGAGAGAAATCAACAGACTTCAATCCAACCCGAACGAGAGAGAGGAGAAGGTTGGGAAATCAAAAAAACCAGGCTTCAGAGACATGCGACTCAACAACCAGAGACCTAACATTCATGTCCATGAGGTCCCCAAAGCAGTGGAGGAAGAATGTGTGCTAAAAACGTATGTGAAGAAAGAACACTGGAAAAGTTGGCCGTTTGGCCAAAGATACGAACCTATATAGTTTGAAGAATCTGAGCAAACCCTAAACAGGGTGAACCCAGAGAACCCCCAAACAAACCGCTAAATATGAAGGACACCGAATTTGGAACGAAGAGTTGCAACCCTGGACAGGGTGACAGCTTATGATACCACAGGTGCAACCAATGCGACTGAATTGTTCATTCTAAATGCTGAAGTGGCACGTTGAATGTGTATTTTACAATTAAAACCATCGAGAAATGCCTTTCAAAGCAGCTAGTGTGAAATGATTTGTTCCGTGTAGGGAAGTAATCAGAAGGACCCTGGACCTCTTGTACAAACCTGGAGACCAG